TATTGGCCCAATGCACACCCTCCCATGCTCCTTTGGTGAACACCACCTGACCAATACAGCAGCACTGGTTACCTGACCAGCAAAGGGGGTGGAGACAGGCACTGGAAGAACCCGCAGGTCACCTTAGAGCACGAGTACCACGGCACAGGTCATGTGATCAACACAGGGGGTGGGGCTAGCTGGTAGAAGAACCTGCTGGTCACCTTACAGCACATAATGAGTACCATGACACGGGTCATGTGATCAACACAGGGGGTGGAGCTAGCTGGTAGAAGAACATACTGGTCCCCTTAGAGCACGAGTACCATGGCACGGATCAAGTGATCAACACAGGGGGGGTGGAGCTAGCTGGTAGAAGAACCTACTGGTCCCCTTAGAGCACATAATGAGTACCATGGCACAGGTCAAGTGATCAACAGAAGGGGTGGAGCTAGCTGGTAGAAGAACCTGCTGGTCACCTTACAGCACATAATGAGTACCACGGCACAGGTCATGTGATCAACACAGGGGGTGGAACTAGCTGGTAGAAGAACCTGCTGGTCACCTTACAGCACATAATGAGTACTACGGCACAGGTCATGTGATCAACACAGGGGGTGGAGCTAGCTGGTAGAAGAACCTGCTGGTCCCCTTACAGCACATAATGAGTACCACGGCACAGGTCATGTGATCAACACAGGGGGTGGAGCTAGCTGGTAGAAGAACCTACTGGTCACCTTAGAGCACATAATGAGTACCATTGCACAGTTCACATGATCAACACAGGGGTGGAGCTAGCTGGTAGAGAACCTACTGGTCCCCTTAGAGCACATAATGAGTACCATGGCACAGGTCATGTGATCAACACAGGGGGTGGAGCTAGCTGGTAGAAGAACGTACTGGTCCCCTTAGATCACCACACGGCCAGTACTATGGTTCTGACTACCTGACCAGAACAGGGATTGGAATCAGGCACCAGAAGAACCTGCGGGTTACTATAGAACATAATGACCAGTACCATAAAACGGGTCACCTGACCAACACAGAGGTCACAGTTAGGTAGTAGAAGAATATGTGCATCAACCTTGAACATCACATGCCGAGCCATAGGTTACAGGGTACACGGGGGTCCGGGGGGATTTGGTCTCCGAGGGGATACAGTCTCCGGGTACACACGCGGCCGGGGGAGAGAAGAGCTCTCCGGCTACGCAGGGGTCTGCGGAGATGCGGTCTCCGGCTACGCAGGGGTCTGCGGGGATGAGGTCTCCGGCTACGCAGGGGTCTGCGGGCATGAGGTCTCCGGCTACGCAGGGGTCTGCGGGCATGAGGTCTCCGGCTACGCAGGGGTCTGCGGGCATGAGGTCTCCGGCTACGCAGGGGTCTGCGGGCATGAGGTCTCCGGCTACGCAGGGGTCTGCGGGGCATGAGGTCTCCGGCTACGCAGGGGTCTGCGGGCATGAGGTCTCCGGCTACGCAGGGGTCTGCGGGCATGAGGTCTCCGGCTACGCAGGGGTCTGCGGGCATGAGGTCTCCGGCTACGCAGGGGTCTGCGGGGATGAGGTCTCCGGCTATGCAGGGGTCTGCGGGGATGAGGTCTCCGGCTACGCAGGGGTCTGCGGGGATGAGGTCTCCGGCTACGCAGGGGTCTGCGGGGATGAGGTCTCCGGCTACGCAGGGGTCTGCGGGGATGAGGTCTCCGGCTACGCAGGGGTCTGCGGGGATGAGGTCTCCGGCTACGCAGGGGTCTGCGGGGATGAGGTCTCCGGCTACGCAGGGGTCTGCGGGGATGAGGTCTCCGGCTACGCAGGGGTCTGCGGGGATGAGGTCTCCGGCTGCGCAGGGGTCTGCGGGGATGAGGTCTCCGGCTGCGCAGGGGTTCTGCGGGGATGAGGTCTCCGGCTGCGCAGGGGTCTGCGGGGATGAGGTCTCCGGCTGCGCAGGGGTCTGCGGGGATGAGGTCTCCGGCTGCGCAGGGGTTTGCGGGGATGAGGTCTCCGGCTGCGCAGGGGTCTGCGGGATGAGGTCTCCGGCTGCGCAGGGGTCTGCGGGATGAGGTCTCCGGCTGCGCAGGGGTCTGCGGGGATGAGGTCTCCGGGTGCGCAGGGGTCTGCTGGGATGAGGTCTCCGGGTGCGCAGGGGTCTGCTGGGATGAGGTCTCCGGGTGCGCAGGGGTCTGCTGGGATGAGGTCTCCGGGTGCGCAGGGGTTTGCTGGGATGAGGTCTCCGGGTGCGCAGGGGTTTGCTGGGATGAGGTCTCCGGGTGCGCAGGGGTTTGCTGGGATGCGGTCTCCGGGTGCGCAGGGGTCGGCGGGGATGCGGTCTCCGGGTGCGCAGGGGTCGGCGGGGATGCGGTCTCCGGGTACGCAGGGGTCGGCGGGGGGGGGGATGCGGTCTCCGGGTACGCAGGGGTCGGCGGGGATGCGGTCTCCGGGTACGCAGGGGTCGGCGGGGATGCGGTCTCCGGATACGCAGGGGTCGGCGGGGATGCGGTCTCCGGGTACGCAGGGGTCGGCGGGGATGCGGTCTCCGGGTACGCAGGGGTCGGCGGGGATGCGGTCTCCGGGTACGCAGGGGTCGGCGGGGATGCGGTCTCCGAGTACGCAGGGGTCGGCGGGGATGCGGTCTCCGGGTACGCAGGGGTCGGCGGGGATGCGGTCTCCGGGTACGCAGGGGTCTGCGGGGATGCAGAGACTTTACCTGATGCTCAGACGATGGACACTCAGCGGTCACTCTCTGGAGCGGGTTGGGAAGATCTCTCTCTCTTATTCGCAGCAGTCTCCCATCCTGACAGAGCGCTCTCTCCGTCTCTGGAGATGTTGGCGGTCTCTTCCTCTTTTCGGTGTCACTCCTCTGGCCAGTGTCACTCACAGCAGTCCCTGCCCCCAAAGGATCTCTCTCCCTCTCCCTGGCTCTCTCTGTCAGGCCTCCTTCTCTTCTTCCTCAGCTCTCTCTCTGGCCTGCGCTCTCTCTGTGTAATCTGCTGTCTCTAGTGGGCGGAGCCAGGATGACAGCTGCCCCCCAGCTCGCCGGAAGTGGCCGCGTAGCTCTTAGGGACAGCCGCCATATTGTGGTTGGCGACACCGGAAGTTCTTCTGAAGACTGGCTGTGTACCGAAAGTGATCTTCGAAATGATGACGACGTATGAAGTATCAGTGCGGAGTGAGCCCGGTGTAGAGAAATTATGCTCGGAAGGATGGTAGAGACTTAAAATTCCGGTACACCGGTTCGAATATTGTCTCCTAGAACATGGCTTCTCTCATGGCCGGAATAGGTCTCCGAGAATATGGCGGTGCCGGAAGTCTTTACATTATTCACTCCAGGCCGGAAGTGGTCTCCGGGAAGATGGCGATACTGTGAAGTTATAAGGGCGCTGAGCGATGACCATGGCGGGAGATGAGCAGCAGCAGCTTCGTAATGTAATGTGAGGGGAGAGGGAGAGTCCTTGTGCGGGCACTCAGTGAGGACAGCCGGGGTCCCGTCTCACCTCAGCCAGGAAATTAGCATTTTCCTGGACGACCAATGGCTGACCTTGTACTTCTTCAGCACATGGAAGCCGCCATTGCTCACCCCCCTCTAAAATACCACCTGCTTGGCTGTCATGGTGATCTTCTGTCTTTAGCATTGACTGGGGACAATCCTACAGATCAGCAGTGATGATCTCTCCCACACCATCCTCATCACCAACAGGGATCAGCATGACAGCCAGGCAACCAGCATTTCCAGAAAGGCCTCCTGTGTGTTCATTGCAGGGTTATGGGGAGATGGAGATGTACCTCAAGACTAGAGGGGTTCACTGGGACAGGAAGTGAGGAGTATGTAGGTTGGGGGTCAGGAGGTTGGGCAGTGACAGACAGGAAGTGAGGAGTGGGGATGGAAGGTGGGTGTCACTGAGACAGGAAGTGAGGAGTGTCCAGTTTGCGGGGCAGGAGGTTGGTTGGGGGGGGGGGGGGGTGCAGGTCACAGAGACAGTAAGCGAGGAATATCCAGGATTGGGGTTAGGAGGTTGGGGTCACAAAGTCAGGAAGTGAGGCGAGAGAGGGGACAGTGGCAGGGGGGGTGTTGCAGAGACAGGAAGTGAGTGTCCAGTTTGTGGGGCAGGAGGTTGGGGAGGTGCAGGTGGAGGTCACAGACAGGAGGTGAGGAATATCCAGGTTTTTGTGTTGGGAAGTTGGGGTCACAGAGACAGGAAGTGAGTTGAGGGGGGGAAAGTAGCAGGGAGGCATCACAGAGACAGGAAGTGAGGCGTATCCAGTTTGGGGGTCAGGAGGTTGGGAAGTGATGGGGGGGGGGCAGGTGGGTGTCACACAGACATGAGGTGGCAGGTGGGTGTCACACAGACAGGAAGTGAGGAGTATTCAGGCTGAGGGTCAGGAGGTTGGGCAGTGACAGGAAGTGAGGAGTGGTGGGAAGGGGGCAGGTGTACATCACAGAGACAGTAAGTGAGGGTGGGGGGGGGGGGGTGTCACACACAGGAAGAACTGCAAGACTGGGGGGGGGGGTTCACCAGGACAGGAAGTGAGTATGCAGGTTGGGGGACAATAGAAAGTGAGTTGGTGGTGAAAGGAAGTGAGGGGGGGGGGGGAGATTGGGGGGGGGGGGGGCATGATTAAACCAAGTGAGAGGTGGGTGGCAGGGGAACATATGAGGATTATGGTGTTGGGGGAAGGCATGCAATGAGATGATAGTTATAGTGGTGCGGGAAGGCGTGTGATGATGAATATAGTGGCGTGGATGATGATGGGGAGGGTGATTATGGTGATAAGGGGGACGAGCATGATAATGGTGGTAGGGAAAAGAGATTGATTATGGTAACAAGGGGAGGCGTATGATAATAGCAGCACGGGGAGAAAAGTAATGAGGATGCTGTGGGAAGTTGGAGGATGATTATGGTGAAAAGAGGGAGGCTTGTGATGGGGGAGGATGGTGATAATGGGGAGGCGTATGAAGATGAGGGTCAGGGAGAGGTAGATGATGAGTACATGGTGCCTGATCTGCCTGTCCTCTCTCACCATGTAGGAGAAATGTCTGGACAGCTGCGCCACCAAACTCATCCGCGCCAACCACCGTCTAATGGCGGCGTATGTGGGACTGATGCCATCTGTTATGCAGCGCAGGATGGCAGACATCGAGAAGCAAAACCAGGAAATGGAGGCAATTGCTGAATCCAAACCAAATTCTTCGCTGGGAGACAATCTTGAGAGTGCAGTCACTGTGGAGGCAGCAGGTGATACGGATCATGTAACCAGAACATCGGGATCTCCATAAAGACTGAACTCTGCAGCCACCAATATGGAGCATTTCCTGTCCTGTACACTGAAGCGGTCTGATCATTTCCATGTTTACATCAGCCTCAGCCTGGGACCGCCCAGCCGTCGTGGTGGCCATCGTGTTTAGAGGAGTATCAGTACCAACGTACAGCGTGTATGAGAAGGGACCGCTGTTCTCCAGTCAATGACTTTGAGATGTTATCAGTCTGCTGCAGGCAGGAAGACAAATTTCCTCAGTCCCCCCTCCCCAGTGATCAGACTTCAGTATGGTAACTTTGTAGCAAGTCACTAGGTGAGAGGCTGCAGCAGGGGGATGATCTGTGTCAGACAGCCAAGACCTTTACAGGCACCAGGATATATATGATGGTGTCATTTCTGAGCTGGATTTTTACTTCACCTGACAACTGCTCAAGCTGCACAGAAATTCTCCTTAAATACAAAGTGCCAATCACAGGAAGTGAGGACTTCAGGGCAGTGGTTGGTGTGGTTTATGTACACACTGTATTTATTAAAGCTTTCCAGACGTATATGCCTTGTGTTATTACTTTGTATGTATGGTGGTTGCTGCTGATGTTTCTGAGAATGATTATACTTTTTCCCCCTTCATTTTTTTTTTTTTTTTAAATAATTCATAAGCTATGTCTATGCCGTTACTTAAGATAACTGCGCTTTGGAAAAATAATATAGATATACAGTACAATTACTACACAAGCCACATTTTTATTTATTAAAAATGACCCTTGAGCTAGGTTCAAACACATGTGTTTTGCAGTACGGTTTCAGATTTGTAGAAACACACTCTAGTATATTTAACATGATTTTCAATGGGTCCCGTTCACATCTGTGTGCTTTCAATGATTGCGGTTTTTTGGAAAGGGCCAGGAACTTTTTTTTTTTTTTTTGTAGTAGATTGCATTTTTGGTTCTATAGACTTCAATGGAAATGCAACAAAAAAATTATTATTATCATACAGGATTTATATAGTGCCAACAGTTTGCGCAGCGCTTTACAAAATGAAGGTACATATTACAGTTTCAATATGATTTGGTACAATAGGAAACAGAGGGCCCTGCTTGTTACAAAAATGCATGTATATGCATTTTTGGTGCATTTCCTACATGACAACAAACACCTCCCCCTTGCAACAATAACACATCTCGAAAACGCAAAATACATTAATCCCTTCCTGCCTGTATGATGTCATATGATGTCCTGGATTTTGGAGATATCTGAATGATGCCTGCAGCTAAAGGCATCATCCAGATATAAATGTATTTTTTGTTTGTTTTGCTGTCTTCCGTGTGTTATAAAAGCCATCTTAGTGGCTGATTAGCCAGTGGACTGACTGCTTTTACAGGCAGTGGGAGAGAATGTCCCTAGACCCCCCCCCCCCCAATGGGGCTTCTTTTGTATGATCAGGGGCTGTTGAACCTATCCGGTGGCGGCAGCAGAGCTGGCCAGAGCCAGTGAGCAATGGCATGACGTCACTTTCTGCTCTGACAGATGTAAACTCTTACTTTTTTTTTTTTTTTTTTTTGCTGGAAAGCCTGCGATCAATTTTTTTTTATCTCATGCTTTCCAGCATAGAGAAGTGATGTGGGGACTTAGAGACCCCAGATCTCTCCATACAGAGGACCTGTCATTACATTTCTTGTAATAGGAATAAAAGTAATAAAAATAAATTTAAAGGGACAGTGTAAAAATAAAGTAAATAATAATTAAAAAAATAAATTTTTGAAGTGTACCTCGACACCTCATGCTTGAATGCAGAAGCAAATGCATACATAGGTCGCACCCACCTGGGGCAGACTGACAACTTATGGGGCCCCCGGCAATAGGGGATCATGGGGCCCCTGTGTCTTTGCCCAAACTCAAAAAAGCCTATGAAAAGGTACCAGGGGCATCTCATGCAGTGCCCGAGTTTCCAAATGGTCAGTCCGCCCCTGGCACCCACATATGTAGAAGGCGTTCGAACCACACGTGAGATATCGCCGCGAACGAACGTCAGAATGAGAACAATAATTCTAGTACTACAGCTCATCTGTAACTGGTAACCTGTAAACATTTTAAAGTGTCTCTTATGGAGATTTTTAAGTACTGTAATTTGTGTGCCATTCCATGAGTGCGCAGCTTTAAAAAGTGACATGTTAGGTATTTGTTTACTCAGCACAACATTTTTTTATAGTTTACCAAAAAATTAGGTTATATATCATGTTTTGTTCACATTAAAAATCATTAAAGTGTTTTTTTTTTCCAAAAAAAGTCGTGTTTGAAAAAGTGCTGTGCAAATACCGTGTGATCTAAAAAACGGCCACCATTTTATTCTCTAGGGTCTCTTCTAAAAAATATATGCATAATGTTTGGGGGTTCTGTGTAATTTCCTAGCAAACAAATGAAGAAGAGAAATGCCAGAATTGGCCTGAGTGGGAAGTAGTAAGAGACGCATCAAAAACACAAACCGCACCTGAAAAGCGTATCAACTGCAACCTGCATAGGTGTAAATATAGCCTTATTTTAAGGGCTTATTCAGACAGGTGATATAGCCCCTGGCAGATGCACATTAATATATTTCAGGGCTGCTCAGCCCATAGAAGTGAATGCACATGCAGTGCCGGCACACGGACACAATGGCATGTCAAATTTTGATGTGGGCAGGAGTGGGTGGACAAATCCCAATGCAGCAGCTCATATGTATAAATGAGCCTGAATCCTGCAGCTGATGTCTTTTTATGTAGGCATTATCCGGAGGACACAGCGGGCACTGGATTGCGGTGCTGCGTGCTCCCAGGGAGCGTGCACAAGCAGGGTGCGGGGAGGCCATTTATAAAGAACCCAACCCTGCACTGCCAGTGGTTAACCATTTGCCTACCGGGCACTTTTACCCCCTTCCTGTCCAGGCCAATTTTCAGCTTTCGGCGCTCTCATACTTTGAATGACAATTGCGTGGTTATGCAGCATTGTACCCAAACTACATTTTTATCATTTTTTTGAGACAAATAGAGCTTTCTTTTGGTGGTATTTGATCACCACTGGGGTTTTTAGTTTTTGCTAAACAAACTAAAAAAATCCAAAATTTAAAAAAAAAAAAACGTTTTTCTTAGTTTCTGTTATAAAGGTTTTGTAAATAAGTAATTTTTCTTCTTCACTGATGGGCACTGATAGGCAGCACTGATGGTCACTGTTAGGCGGCACTGATAGGCAGCAGTGATGGGCACTGTTAGGTGGCACTGATGGGCACCATTAGGTGGCACTGATGAGCACTGATGGCCAGCATTGATGGCTGTACTGATGGGGCTACACTGATCACCAGGATACTGATGCTCAGTGCCCTGATGATCAGTATAGATGTCCCCCTGCAAAATGTCGCTTACCGGCTCTCCTCTCATCACGCGCTGTCAGTGTGAGGAGAGGACTGCCGATAACCGACATTTCCTATTTACCCGGTGATCAGCTGTGTTTGGACACAGCTGGTCACATGGTAAAATCGGCTGTGATTGGACTGTTCCGTAGCCATGTGATCAGCTGTGTCCGAAGGACACAGCAATCGCAGATCGGGCGCCGTTCTGGGAGGACTTCCATGGATGCCCTCCCAGAACTAGCCAACCACGCTGTAGCCATCTTTGGGCTATAGCATGATTGGGAACTGGTTAATGCAAACTAAAGAATCTCTTGAAGAGTGCTACTGTATATAATAATCCTCTGAATATACCTGTCTGTGGTGACCGTGTGTGTTACAGATGTTTATTGTTCAATTACTAACATTGTGAAGGGTTGATAGTCCCAAAGCTATCTGCTGGCAGTTTGTATTTCGAAAGGTCAATTGTGTAATTAATTAACCCAGTAACAATCACTGTCAGGCTGCTGGCACATAGAATGAGGTCCCATGAGCTGGAAAATCTTTGTGCAGGGCGCAGCTGAGAGTGGCATTGTTACGCCAAATGAGAGCACAGTGTGAGATTGGCTGGTCCCTTGTCACGAGTTGGTGAAAAGGGCAGCAGAGGTTGGGCACCGCGTTCATCACACCACTCACCTGTCCCCTGATCCAGCAATGTACTCACCGGTGCCACCCAACATCCCAAGTGTGGGCACCTGGCTGTGACAGCTTGCACCCACTGCGCATGCGTGAGCAGCACTGCGATTTGTGAATGATCCTATAGTCTTCTGGGACTTTCAAAATAGACAATTTCAAAAAGTAACAAAAGCATTTGCAGCAGAGTAAACAATGGAATGAACGCTCAGATGAATCCTCAGGGGCTTCCTAGTCTAACCAACAAAAAAGAAAAGTCTTTGATTTCATCGCCGTGTCTTTCTCTCCAAACAAGCTCTGTGAAAATACACTGTATGGCCAGACGTACCCGGACATTCCTTCATTTAGGCTGCACACGGGGCGTTCTGATAAAGCTGGTAACGTTAGCTGTGTAAAGTCAGAGTTTTTCAACTTTTTTTTTAGCGTTTTTGCATTAGCGTTTAATGGTGTTTTCCCGTGTTTGCGGTTTATTCACAGAAATTTTTTTCATAAAAAAAAGTCCAAAAATGTCGGTTTGCGCCATTTTACCGTGTTTTTCAGCATTAGAGTGTTTTTACAGCTAAAAAATACCTCTAGAAACCCACTAGTCCTGTTTTTTTTTTCCAGCCAAAAAACATTGATTCTAGTTTATGTGTGTATGGACACATAGGATAACATGCTGGGGGGGTTACTGGCTGTAGGAAAAAAAACGTCAAAAGCCAAAATGTCCCGTGTGTGCATGAGGACTTGGCCACAGCTGAGGCAGCAATACATGTAGATTGATTGGAATATTACAGACAACTGCATTTTCTGATTCTGTACATATTGGGGTTTACTTACTAAGACTGGAGAGGGCAAAATATGGTGCAGCTCTGCATGGTAGCCAATC